TCTTGAAGACGCGAACTGAGCAAAACGAAGTTTTCGAGAAGCTATGACTCACTATGTTTTTAGCTAATTTCACGAATCTCGGGTACATGTCAGGTTTTGATAATTTTTCGGCGTTTAAAATAATATTTCAGAAAACAAACCCCATCACGTTTCTGAGTATACATTAGTGTATCACTGGACAAAATAAGAAAACATTTCATTTTTCATCATGTGCCACGTGTTGCTCGATGATAGTGGAGATTCCCTCTTAAATTGCGTACACAACTTTACATTATCATAACTATCTAATTTGCGCCGCTCTCGTGATTCGTGAAGCAATATAAAGGCATAATATAAGGGCATAATACAAGCAAAAAAAGGGCATAATTCCCGTGATCGCTTCGAAACCTGGCCAATATTCCGGTAATGCGACATTGCGTGTGATCACTGATCATGTTTCTATATGAACGATTTCGTGTGAGGTAGCAATACTGGCTGGTTAGACAAAATAGTCTGTAATTTAATATATCATTTTGTCGCCTATGCGCTCAGTCTGTTTATAAGCCTATAACACATTTTTTCTTGGTGGAAGTAACTATATTTTTTCAAATGCGTTTTTTTCCCACCCACTTTCAAAATTCGGCGCAGGATCGGCGCCCCCTTTTCATTTTTGCGCCCCCCAAAAATTGCCAGCTGGGGGGCCGTGGCCCCCCAGCCCCCCCTGCCAGCACGCCACTGTTATATATACATATTTTATATGCAAATTTCGCGTTTGTATAATTTAATAATAAGAAACCCAAACCATTGTTGTTGTTTGTCCATTGTCGCCTGCGCCATCGGTCCAGTTTTATTTCGTTTGCTTCTGGTGCAAACAGGTTTTAATGAATTTAAATTTACTGGTAAATCTAAATCTTCAGATATTCATGCAGTCAAAAATCCCGGCAGTATATGAATCTCAATTCAGGCAGCTGCAAAGACCGTAGCTTTATATAATAAACAATTCACGAGAACATTAAATTCAAAAACAATGAAATAAAAAAATGCAATTCGGAAAAACGTATATACTTGAGTTTTCAAAACCAATTGCATGGGCGATTATAGAGGTGATGAAGATTGATGAAATGGATGCATTAACATTTTACTGTTATGACATGGATATAAAATTTAATCAACAAGAAAACCCTGTTTCACCAAAAATGGTTTTTGGCAGAAACGTTGCATCGAATTTTAGCACTGAAATGAATGGTGGCATTTTACGTTTTTTTAATGTATATTACAAGTAAAGGCTTTAACTGGTTCTATACAGACCTCATAAGTTAAGATAGGCACTGAAATGTAAGTTACCGCGAATGTTAATTCACATTATAATATGAATAAACAAGCCGAATGTCGCGTGATGACTGACGTTCAATCAGATATTAAATATTGTAAATTATAAACTTATGAGTTTTGAAAACAACGTGTAAAAGTTCAATTAAGATCTAATAATATTGTAGATTTCATATTAAATACACCTTTTAGTAAAAAAGCCCGACAAATATTCATGCACAGATGCACTGACCAACTGGGAGAGGACAATATTATAAGATTTATAGAATGGAATTCAAGAATACCAATTTATCGATTATTGTAATAGCTTTTCTTGGAGCAGTTTAAAACGTATTACTTCTCGTCGCCTTTATCAAGGATCCTTTAAAATGCTTCAGAAATTCAGGGACATATCTGGTTATCAATCTCTCAGTTTCTGATTTATTGACGTGTTTATTTGCTCCATTTTTTCTTCAAGCTATCGTCATTACTGGTTTGGATTCGGTTTTTGAATTTTTTGCTTTATATTTTGGGAGTGCTTGACTTGCATCCATAGTTTCAATTTCTATTGACCGTTTTTTATCGGTGACTTATCCTTTGAAACATCGCTATTTGATTAAGGGGAAAGTTATTGTCTTGTGGATATCGGGCATTTGGCTGGGCAGTTCCGCGATACCTATGTTACGACTGGTGTATAGTAGAAAAAACAACCTGATGCTTGCGGGCCACTGTTCTTGTGTGTTCGCTATAGTACTTTCTGCAGTCATGTACGCTGCTACATATTCAAAATTAAAGAAACACTCGAAGAACATCGCTTTACAAAATTCAACTGAAAGTCGTGCACAAGAAATAAAGATCCTTAAGGAAAAGCAATTTTTAAAAACAATCATTCTGATTGCATTCATTGCGTTTGTTTGTATTGCGCCTTCCATGACATATTTTCAGCTCCGTGATTCCTTGCGTTTCTCCAAAGATAATTTGGCAGACGTGATTCTCTTTCAAATAACATCTCTGACTTTTTACACAAACTTCGCAGTGAATCCTTTAATTTATATCCTACGTTTGCCGAACTATCGCAAAACATTTTATTCGATTTATTGTAAAAGACGATTTTAATACTGATCGAGAAGCCATATTTCAAATCTGCGTTAGTGTGGGATTTGAGAATTGGGAACTTGCCGTCATATAGATAATGACGTTTATTACGAAGCATAAATTTATGAATGTTACATTAGAAATTTAGCCATAGAAAACATTATAATGTTTTTTTTATATATAATCAAGATGTGCTATTTTAAAAGCGTTTTAATTAATACTAAGTAATTTCTTAAAAAATTCCTGAGGCTTTCTGAACTTTTTAAATGAGCTAGATCACGAAGTTTGTCTAAACTGAAGAACGCTGCATGGAAGACTGCATACTTCTAGCGTGATTTACTCTGTCCAGCAAAGCAAGAGTAAGTTGTGCTAATATCTCATCTATAACACTGGAAAAAAATTTGAAAATCCATAGGTCATAGAATGGAAATTGTATGGACCTTTATTGGAAATATAATGGTTCTGGTTATTAAGTAAACTCGAACGAATTAACCCAGGGGTATACTTGTCACATAAATGACATTGTTGAAGACCATTGTTAGTGTTGAAGGTGATGACATGATCTAGGCTCCGAACAAACAGACTAATATGCCCTAAAATCGAAACAGATTTACTTTGCCCTAAAATTGTAAAATTGCAATCCTTATTTTCGTCGCTTATAATTTCTTGTAATGTAAGTGCGCTGTCCAACAAGTCTAGGTGGTTTGCCGTAATTGTAAAAAAAATATGGCCACGACAACTTGCGGATAAAAGTTCAGACAACTGTTGTGCAGAGGAAGTGGTGGTGCGTAGAATGAAAATATGGACGCTATAACGGAGGGCTATGTTGTTTGCAAAGACGTAGGTGCAACGGAAATATTTAGGTGACATTAATGGGCGACATTGATGTCGCTTTATTTTAATATTGACAGGCCGGCATGAAGACTAGCTTTGCCGGGCTTTGCCTTTGGCATGAGAACTCTTAAGTGTGTAGAATAGGAATTATAATTAGAATATAGGTTATAAGATCGATAATGAATTTTGCACGATTATAAATATTAGATAACAATGTATGATTTACTGTAATTGGTAATGAGTGGTTGCAGTAGAAATGAAGTGATCATGCATGAAAATGGGAAATATAATTTGTGGTATTAAACATACCAGCACGGTTGGTAATTGAATAAAATGGGTGAAGAATGGTGGAACCTAGCGGCGCATAGATCCTAGCCTGCGAACAGGCTCTCAAGCTGAATTGAGAGCCTGCATCGATGACTAATGAATTTGAATATCTGCGTCTCAAATCGTGACGCGAAATTCTCATTGGTCAGATGCTATAATTTATATTATTCCGCTGAGCTCTATATGTGTCAACTGCTAGCACTATGCATAAAAAAACACATTAACTGATCAAATTGGTCTTGGCCATCATCTTATCTCAAAGCACGAAATGTTCTGTTTTGAGAAAACAGTATTTAAAACATTTAAACTTTTGCTTCAATATCTTATATTTCGAAAAACAGTATAAACTGTACGGTCTAAATTTAGTTTGCATGGTCTAAATTTAGTTTGCACGAAAGTTGTAAACAAGACCATATAAGGATAGACATTCCATATTTGGAAAAACGAACGTTACGGGGCAGATATTCAAATTCATTAGTCATCGATGCAGGCTCTCAATTCAGCTTGAGAGCCTGTTCGCAGGCTACATAGATCCTATAGGGTGAAACACTTAATCTGGAAATTATATAGAATATTAAATCAATAATTTAACTATAATATAGAATGTTAAGCTGCATTCATATAGCTATAACAAGGGGGAATTTCGTTCTCGACCAATCAGCGCTTTTGTTTACATTTTTGCCCTAAGCCAATCAAAATGCGTAAAACGCTTCATCACATGAAATTTGTAAGCAAACATATGGGGTTACTTCAGAGCTTTTCTGCAAGTGTTTTTTTTTGCCATGAAATTGACATATGTTGTTCTTAAAAGAATTCTCCTCAACTTCCTCGTGGCGATTTTTGTTGCATGCCCATATGGGCATGCAACTTTCATATAGCTCTAAATTTCGTGTCGCGGTGTACGGGCGGTGGTAAATCACGTGACAAATTCGTATTTAAAATGCGACAAATAGCGAGTTTTTCCGACGAGCATTTTCATCTGAATATTGACGCCCGGCCGAAAATTTACATAATTGAGCGCCTTAGGAAAATAGATCGAGGTAGGTAAAGCTTTACCGTTTTTAATTTACCTTATATTCTGTTATTTGTTGTTAGTTTGGAACCGTTGTGCTCGCACTGATTATTTATCAGCCGTTTAATATTTATGTCGTGAAGGCTATACGCTATCAAAATACTGAAATACTTTTATATATGCTCAAATTGAAACGGAGTCATTGGCCTCACACTGATTATATTGTGTGCAAAACTTCAAAAATACAGTACATTAATTTTGTAAATAACATGAAATATATTAAAAATATCAAACAAAATTCTCATTAATACTATTGAAATTTAATACAACGAAATAGCAAATAGCATTCTACATTTCTACGTCGATAATTTCAATCATAGTTTAATAATTATTTTCAATATATAGTAATTCACCGTTTCTATGGTTTTTTTATACTTTCAATAAAGCTATAATAAAGCTAAATTTGTAGGAATTGACATTATTTAGTTGTAAAATAGTAAAGGAAATCTAACAGTCAATCGCTTTGAAGCTTCGATAAAACCTTGACCTTGTTTATATTACCGTCGTTTGCAACTACCGATGAACAGTCGCTCATAAAAACATTACTTATTCGCGTGAGAATCTTAAGTTTTCTTATTTTGACATAATAGCTATTTTTCAATAAATATATTGATATTAAACTTATTGATTCAGTATTTTAAGTTTTAGGCCAGTTGTACCAAAAGTTATAAGCGATAGCACATCATAACCAGCAATCGTCCACAAAACATATTGAGACTTTTTAAATCAATCCCCTCCCCCCTTATTTCAATGTTGAAACCTACTGTACTTATCGAAAAGGAACATAAGGTGATACTAGAACCGCAAGTGTATCACTGGCAGTTGAAATTTAACAGATGATGTTGGATTTAAACTATTTTGTAGTGCTTAACAACATTGACATTGTGGGAGGGGGTTTGTCTCAAATATTTTGTGGACGATTGAGAGCACAGAGTGGGTCATACAGAAGCCCGATTTCGTGGTTTTTCCTATGATTTTCCAATGATTTTGACGTGACCGTAATTCGTCATCAAAATGGCCGGTATGTGTTTGGTAGGCATTCAATCCCACTGATAATATTCAAAATGGTGGACGTCCAGGGGGGCGCACTGGCTGGGACCTGGCAGCGACTGCTTCTGTTTACAGTATTTGCCAAGTAACGAATCATGACGAATAGCGCTTACGCAGAACACAATGCATCAGATGGACTTCAGTATAGGATTCTGAGTCATGAGGTTGATGGCATGCAACATGTACGCACTGCGTACCTATTTTTGATTAATTACGTGATTGCGAAGATATGGGTCTTCAAACTTTGCCTTGCGCAAGCTTGAATACCACCCCTCGAATTTGTAGGTTCCGAACGGATTAGCGTTTTTAAAAGCCTTTCAAATCGAGGTTTGAGAGGTTTTATTTTTTAAAAGATACTTTTATCTTCATATTTTCACATTAACTTATTAATATCCTGTGTAACAAGTAAACAGGACACTTCCGGGCCGGGACAAGTTGACATGTCGATTTCTTGCTAAACAGCGTGGCGATCAATATGGTTCGTATCTAAATACAGGGAATTTTGAAAATTTTGTTGGTATAAATGGGCTAAAGAAATTCATCAAATATTTGGACTATAGACCTTCAAACTTATGCCAGGCATTTATTTGATTGATTAGCTCAATAACTGTTTCTTGGCTCGTTTTTCGTCGATTTCGACATTTTGTCGACTTCAGGATAATGATTAATGTGTCAACATTGCGTATTGCAGCCTGTGGACATGAATACTTTCGTCGTTTGTTTGACCATAACACTTATCTTCATTGTTTTTAATCCTTGAATGATAATATATTCATTGGTCTCAGAGTCCTAAACTTAAGGAAGATGGATGACTTTGGGACAGATATCAAAATTTTGTTCAGATATCAAAATTTATGGATAGCATCTATTTCTGTCAATGATTTTGTCTGCAAGAATTAAGCATCATCATTAAATTTGGAGGTAAAATCGGTCCTTCCAATCTGTACAGACCTTCTACATCTGCAAGATCTACGATGCTATGATTGTCTCTCCATCGAGTGACCAAAACCTTGTTCACCTTTCTGGTTAATATGTTATTGGTATGATGACTTCTGCATGATTTTCAAAACTAACTCAGCGACAACCAGAACAACTACTCATCCACCTGTTTCAAAAATGGCTGGTAAAAGTTAACCAGGTGGTTTAGATGCTAAATTTGTCCCTCAAATTTTCTCCCACTTGTTGCCAAGGCTATGTCTGTACTTCATGCTGGTCAAAAAGACAATCTGATTTATCACGCTGCTAGATGCTTTGGAGAACAGCTGCAACGCCGTGGAGATGATGGTCTGATGCCATTGGATAGAATGCCCTTTATAGCAGTGAAGGCCCATTTGGCCTTTTTTTAACAGTATTTTGTAATGATGTTACACATCTAATTCAGATAAAGTTTGAGAAATGGTGGTTTTTTCAATGTTAAGCCCCAGAGAGGGGGCGGGGTCGGGCATATGTGGGGCATTTGATTTTTTGAGCAAATTTTCAATCAAATGTCCCACTGTTAGGTAATAAATATTGGTCAAACACCCTACCATTTTGCAATAAATTGCAGTAAATACTATATTAATAAAAGTCATTTTGGTTCAAATTGCCCTAACTTGGGCCCAAAATGCTAATCAAATACCCCACATATGCCCACCCCCCTCTGGGGCTTGACATTGACAGGTGCAATTATATGCAGGTTTTTTTTTTTATTCTCATGTAATGTATCACAAAGTATCAGCAGCATGTTATTGTGGGACCTTTGATCAATATGTATATAAATAGACATATTTTTGTTTTATTGTTGCATTAATTTTAATGAAAAATAACTCACAAAGTTGGTCAAGTGAATGTATAAACTATTTATTTCTTCATTTAGTACAGCACATGTTACAATTATATACTTGTCTTAATTGCATGAGTGTGTATGACAGACATTGTTTTATTTTAATTGTGCACACCCATGCACTTATGAGTTTTTGTTTATGAAAATAAAGTTTAGTTATTTAGTTTATGAAAATAATTTTTTATTTATTTATTTATTTATTTTTTTTGTTTATTTTATTTTGTTTTGTTTATTTTGTTTTTTGTTTATTTTGTTTATTTATTTTGTTTATGAAAATCTAAAAAGTTAGCCAATTGAAATAACATCATTTCTATAACTTGCTAAACCTAGTCAGTTACAATTATATCACAAACATCTGTCAACGTACACTCTGACTCCTGCTCTCCCTTACCACTTGAGTCTCCCACTCACCACATCGCTACTCCTGCTCTCCCTTACCACTTGAGTCTCCCACTCACCACATCGCTTTATGAAATTTTTTTGATAAAATCCTATTTTAAAAAAGTCAACCCTTTACTTGATATGCTGAACATAGACCTCTAAGATTTCTCCTGTGGCAATAGTGGTTATAGTGGGTGCAAATACTCGCATAGTTGAGAAGCAATATAACCAATATGTGTCCATCCAGTTCCATAGTCTACATCAATTGCAATTGCACTTGGGTCCATTGGATTCAATGGCTCTGGCCGTACTCTTACATTCACTGGTTTATCTTGTCCATGAAGAGCAAGGTATGCCTGTTCGAAATGATGTTGGTAATTTTTCTCATGAGCAGCACCGATGCACTTGAATGGTACAGCATGGGTGATTTCGTCCTCGTCACTTTCATCCTCATCACTTAAGGTGGCTCCCTACAGTTCTCTAAAATTCTGGGTATTTTGAGTATCGTTTGCTTTGAACCGAATTTATATTAGATACACTTACGACAAGGCAATATGATCATTTCCAGGAAAGTTCAGAAGCTGTGTGCTGTCCATTTATGAACAAATTAAAACAGTGTTTGTGTTGCCATGGCAACCATGACGTTTAATCTTTTGCACTTTTATTGTCTAATTTCACAATAAATTGACAATATCTATATTTTCCTTCGGTGAAGTTTTCTGAATTTTTTTTTGAAGATTTATGGCCATAAAGGAAAAACATATCAAAATTTGAAGGGAATTTACAAATAAGTTTTCGAGATATTCGTGAATGACGGTTACAGAAAAAGTTATTTGTAGAATTTCTTAAAATTTGGATATGTTGTACCACTCGTCTTGTATAACAAAAATACAAAGTTTAAAAAAATTTCACCGAAGAAAACACGAGAAAATCATCGCTAAAATCGGCGTGGCCAGCATGAAAAAAAATCGACTCGACATGAGCACGATCTGCGCATGCGTGTAAATTGAAGCGTGTGATTTATTGATTTATAGTGATTTCAACTTAATTTTGGCTTACAAATACATAAGAAAACAGATATTTCTGACTTGTTTGATATGAAAATAAAATATTAATCTTGAAAATACTAATAAAAAACACTATTATAGGCATTGTATTAAATTGTTAAAATCGGTGTGAAAACTTTTCAAAACATCGAACTACAAGTTTAACTTTTCATATAAAACAACTCATAACTGTTTTATTTGATTTAGCAGATAAAACGATCATACCTGTAAATTGAATTGATTGACAGAACTTATATAAGTTTCGGCAACAGTTCACTACTGTTCAAGAGTTAATAGAAGACAGTATCATTTCAGTTTGACAGCTCGCAAAACAACAAGTTGAAAATTTTGAGCAATATGAAAGACAATACTGAACGTAAATACGTAAAACCACACTAAAAGATAGGTTAAACTAGTTAATAACATACGTACTGTTCGAATTCAGGAAAAATTAGGATTACAATGAAAAACTGGGGCTTTCTTTGTAGATAAAAACGCCAAAAAACTTCCCACGGCTTGTTTCAATATTTTTGCCGAACAGTAAACACTAAACACGACGATTCCACGCGCAGGTCGCGAGGATGAAGTCTGATCTATATAAATCGTATTTAAACTGTACTAACTGTAGGGAGCCACCTTAACTGGTCGCCACTTTCTGCTCTATCACCTTTATTACCATATCCATGCTGACCAGGTTCAAGACCAGCCAACTACTCAAGTAGATCTCTTTCTACAAAATCATAACAACAAAATTTTTATCTTATTATTTTGTACATAAACTGTAATCTCTAAAATTAGCAATCTAATGCAAAAGTGTGTCACTATTTACAGTAATATTTATAGAACACACAAATATGGCAATATTTTACAGATAAAAATTGAAAAATATCTAACTATTGTATGCACATATGTGAAAATCTATCCACAACTAGATACAAACAGGCATCGTACTTCAGCAAAAATTTATTAAACAATTTGTTTAACTCAAAGCATGCACATATGTATCACAGTGACACATTACATAGACACACACAATAGGGTCAAACTAGAGGCATTAAACACAAATATTACCCCATAATTTTGTACAGTGTATTTATAAAATTACAGTACAAGGTCATAACAAGATAATATGTAAATAACAAGATAACTGTAATGCATTGTAGTATACCAACCTTAAATATTGCGCTTGTTTTCATGTTGATGATACACGGAGATTTAACGTCATCCAAGTTAGAAAGAAGAGCCTCGCTATTGGAAATATAAACACAATTCCTTCGCTCAGACGGATTATTTTATAAAGCTAAAATGACAGCATGTCCCATGCAATTTAAAAAAGGTAAACTTGGTATAGAAAAAAAAACAAGTCATAATGATGATCGCAACCGAGGGGCAATTCACTCCAAAAATCCCGTACACTTCGTCAAAAAATCCGGAAAAAATCCAGAAAAAATCCATGAAATCCTCAAAATCCGTTGAATCCATCAAAATCCGAAAAATCCTTTAAAAACCACAGAAATCCTTCAAAAATCCACAGAAATCCTTCAAAATCCTTAAAAAATCCGCAAATCCACAAAAAATATATGAAGTACTTGGTGTAATTTACTCGTAAAGGTTCTTTGCCACATTCAAAATGGCGGACAGCGAAAGCTAAACGCTTACCGTGATCGCTGTCATTATATTTCGTAATTATTGGACCACTCTACATTTCCATTTATACGCTCGAGTATATGCTAAGTTTTTTTAGCCTACTACTACTAAATATGTGTTCTTGTTACAATGACGTTATGTTGTAAAATATAATTACAAAACCAAAAGTTATTCACCATTGTCTTTTACTGTTTTTGAAAGAATAATGAACTTGTTTGAATTTTAAACAAAATGACTGCATGCCCAGCCTTCGTTAGTTTCTGAAGGCTGTGGTCCTAGTCCCAGTCCTCTGCTCGATCCTGACGTCCTGGCATAACGTTGACGTCGTACAACTTAAGATTATTTGTTCAAAACGTTACCTAGCTCTATAAATCTATAATTAAAAAAAATCCAGAAAAATTCCGAACAAATCCGGAAAATCCAACAGATTTTCAAAAATCCAGAAAAAATCCGAACAAATCCAGAAAAAATCCGAACAAATCCGGAAAATCCAGCAAATTTTCTCTTCAAAAATCCGCTAAAAAATCCGGGAAAATCCGCTAAATCCGCTAAAAAATCCGCGGATTTTTAAAAATCCGAAAATCCCGTACGCTTTTTTCGAGTGAAATGCCCCTCGATCGCAACAATACAGCAATAACATGCTGTTTCTTTTCACAAAGTATCGCAGCCTGACACTCTTGTCGTTCGAAAGCTTCCATATTGGTTTAGTCAGAGAGATGTTCACTCCTCGACAGTCAACAGTCAACGAAGTCACGCGCGGAATTAGGCGCTCAATACCCATGATGCTTTGCGGCCTGCTGTCCAACCTCTTCTGCTAGCCAAGTAATATGAACAAGGCCCAATTGTGACTAGTGAGCCAGATGAAGTAAAAACAATGAAGTTCATAATTATATGTCCATAAATTTTGATACCTGAACAGCAACATTGAACAAAATCATTTTGTCCCAAAGTCATCCATCTTCCTTAAGTTTAGGACTCTGAGACCAATGAATATATTGTCATTCAAGGATTAAAAACAATGAAGACAAGTGTTATGGTCAAACAAACGAAAATATTCATGTCCACAGGCTGCAACACGCAATGTTGACACATTATCCTGAAGTCGACAAAATGTCGAAATCGACGAAAAACGAGCCAAGAAACAGTTATTGAGCTAATCAATCAAACAAATACTTGGCATAAGTTTGAAGGTCCATAGTCCAAATATTTGATGAGTTTCTTTAGCCCATTTATACTAACAAAATTTTAAAAATTCCCTGTATTTAGATACGAACCATATTGATCGCCACGCTGTTTAGCAACAAATCGACATGTCAACCAACCTCGTTCCCAGGCTCTTTGCTCTTGGGAAGCAAAGACCCTGGTCGGGGCTGGTCACGTGACCCATAGAAAATTGATAACCTAAGAGGGGGATGGAAAAGTATCAAATTACATGTCTCCACTTCCGCACCTCACACTTCGATTGCAAGGAGTGACCGTTCTATACAATCATCTTTGAGAATCATATATACTTCAAAATACTTGCTAAATTGGTTTGTGTTTGCTTTTAAATTATACAAACATGCTAAACTGTAGATTCTTATAGCAACAAACAAGTCAGAAAATCAAGCAACGAAAACGTATGATCGTATATGCTTGGAAATATTTGCCCTTTTATTGTCTCGCGGGGTTAGGGCGCAGTTTCATTTCACGCGTACGTTTCTGTATCTGGTTCAGATACGTATAATATTCTTATAATGTGCCATTGAATTGTTGTCATATGGAAACGGTATAAATTTTGTTACATAGAGGTCTCAAAAGCGACTGTGTAGGTCGTAGGCGTAGCGCCTTGTTGGTCCTACAGCAAACGTTACATATTTGGACACTAGCCAAATAGACATTGAATGCCCATTCTATTGATTCTAAAACGGTTTATAGACATAGTGCTCTAAATTTTTTTAAAAAGGTTATCATCGTTTATATTCACAAGGTAGGAAGGAGTATTAACGTATATGTACAAAATTGTTTGGGATCAACAGTAAAGAATTATACGACAATTCACAACTGTATGCATTTCCTTTTTTGTCTGCACGAGTACCTGTTTGTTGACGCCAAAATCACTAAATCAGATTGCACAGAATCTCCGATATGAATCATAATTATAGCCATTCACTTTCGCCCCTTGAATGCAAAGGAATGATAGCCGAAAAGGTTTAGCAAAGTATTTTTTATTATATCTGGTATAAAGTGTCCCTACGTTTTATCAGGGATATATATACATAATTCATAAACTGTATATATGCGCACGAAGTCCAGCTCATAGAATTACTTAATTAATGAGTTTTAATAAGCCTTTTAAAGTTTCCATTGATAGATAAGTTGTTTGCCTCTAGTATGCTTTGGTGAAACTGCTAAAATGTCATTTATACAGCATACGATAAAGATTATTTAAAGTTGATTTAAATATTGATGACTCACAGCAGCATTATACAAGTCCAAAGAAGCTGTCGGGTTATTCTTCAAATATAAAGCCCTGAATGGGCAATGGGAATGAAAGGTCTTTATAAGGTTTATAAATTAATGTACCTGCTGTAAATTACTGTAACACACAAAATATGAAATAATTTACTATGAAGTACAATACCAGTGTCTGGTGCAATCTGGTGCATATATCGTCCTAAATATTCAAGTTATATGTACCGCACGCACGGAAACGCACAGTGGTCTTGGTGTTCGTCTGATGACAGATAGCTATACTTCGAGTCTTCGACATAATCATTCTTGATCGTTGAGTTTCAGCAATGTAAATGAAAGGAATTTTACAGTCCATAACGGTTTTAATCCTGTGCTTTCACAGTCAAGATAGCACTATTGTTTACACATACATAGTTAGCGATGTTTGGGAAATCTTCCATTATAAAATAAATCCTTTGGCTTTGTTGAATATCGGACAGGATACACTTCAAAAATAAACAACCATATCGTTCATTTAGTATCGTTTGATCGTCAGTCGGTATAGAATTGGGAAGACTTATATGTTTCTACGGCGATGCGTGCTCAACTTCGCAAGCCAGGCGCGTGTGGAGTCCTTGGAAGTGAAATATGATCCAGCTTCTTGCTTGAAATGTACCGCAACACTTATTATTGATGACATTTAGTATAGCAGGAAGTTGTGTCGTGATGAATACGAATTTAAAACTGTTCCTTTCACGATTTCTTGTTGCAAATTACATTTTTATCACCCGAAACTATAACACATAAAATTGCAATTTTCCAAACGTAGCAAACAGACTCCTCTACCACCCCTCCCTGAGATCAATTCAATTTACCACGCAGAATCTGCGGGGTCACGTGACCAGCCTCGACCAGGGTCTTTGCTTCCCAAGAGCAAAGAGCCTGGGAACGAGGTTGCATGTCAACTTGTCCCGGCCCGGAAGTGTCCTGTTTACTTGTTACACAGGATATTAATAAGTTAATGTGAAAATATGAAGACAAAAGTATCTTTTAAAAAATAAAACCTCTCAAACCTCGATTTGAAAGGCTTTTAAAAACGCTAATCCGTTCGGAACCTACAAATTCGAGGGGTGGTATTTAAGCTTGCGCAAGGAAAAGTTTGAAGACCCATATCTTCGCAATCACGCAATTAATCAAAAATCGCCACGAGGAAGTTGAGGAGAATTCTTTTAAGAACAACATATGTCAATTTCATGGCAAAAAGACAAAAAACCGCTTGCAGAAAAGCTCTGAAGTAACCCCATATGTTTTCTTACAAATTTCATGTGATAAAGCGTTTTACGCATTCTGATTGGCTTAGGGCAAAAATGTAAACAAAAGCGCTGATTGGTCGAGAACGAAATTCTCCCTTGTTTATAGCTCTAAGTTAAAACTAAAATTTTACCGTCAGTCTTATAGTTGTATTTTTTAAAATTCAAAGTGAAATAAAACATAGATATTAAACTCGAACGACTTAACCGCGGCGTATACTATATAGTTATAGCTTGGCTGTCTCTGGTAGTACCGCTGGAATTCATGCCGATCGCTAGTCGTCCCGGATTTATAGAAAAGTGTAATATATTGTAATAGCCTACTGTATGTTTAAGATATTTGCAAGAGTATAGGATAAATTAATATGTTGCGGTGTGTTTGTTTAATTTAATAACGATGCAGAGGTATAATTATGGTAATATATATTATATATTGCGTACATGCATGTGATATACGACGCAACGGTATAGTCACTTCAAAGCCCTCTACAGCTTCGGTTTCTTGCCGTTGGTGACTGTTTTGGACAATATCATTGTCTGTATGCAAATCCAGATTGCTGTTTACCTCCAAATTTGCATTTTGACTAATGGTGTTTTGATTTTCAAAATTGTTAAATTCATGTCGTGAAATCGTGTTGTGCCTTCTCTGGTTTTCATCTAATGTTTGCTCTCTTTCGTCATTGATAACCGCTCCGCCGCTTACCTTACCGATAGCACGAGTGTCAGCTGTAGCGTTAATTTTCTCAAGTCTAGCGGCTTGATCTCGCAGGTTTTGGCTCTTCAATCCAAGATGTTCGTATCCTTTCTTGTCCCACAGATCTTTCATAATTTGTATATAGCCCTTCTTTCTGCCGTTCACATGGCATGGCGGCTTTTCCGATTTAAGGAATTCCATCGCTTTCTTCTTACAATCTAGCAGATCTGAATTCATTTGCTCTGTCCATTTTAATTTCGATCGCTGCTGTCGCGACATCGTGTATAATAATAATAATAATGGAAACTTTATTAAATGTTTTTCTTTACATACATATACAATCGTAAATCTCTCTCATAAAGGTAACTTACGGTCGGCTATTTGAATCACAATTATACTAAACTAAAATAACAGAACAAAGTGCATGCAATATATATATATATATATACAATGAGATAAGTCAAATTGTTAGTAAATCCGGATTTTCCCATTCCTTATTTCGGCAGCAAAAAATGTAATATGTAGATCTAATAGCAATAGTCATCATTTTCCTAATGCAGTACATTTGGTGGTTTTTGTCAAGACCAATACTATCTAACATATCTAAAAATGTATAACATTCTTCTGCAAAAATACCTAAAGAGCTGATCGAGAGATTTATAAATTTAACTTGGTTAAAATTTTTACCTCAATAATTCTCTATATTTATCCTTCTTCCGTTTTACGTTGTTTTTGAGGTTTGTCTCATAACCAGTGGTGAGTTCAACCACATATAAGGAACCATTTGAGCACGATAATAACAAATCTGGGCGATACGTATCACCAGTAAGTATTGAAGGGCTTTTGAATCCATTTAGATCAGCGTAGAGAGTAGAACCGTCAACAGTTTGTAAAGTATGAGCAAGAAAGTTCAGGACTGAATTGTGTCTCCACGTAAATCGGTCGAGATAAAACTGACATCCAGCTACTATGTGTAGTAATGTTTCAGGGCTAAGACAAAAAGAACAGTCCATCTGTTTAGGTTTTTGCCCATATTGCCCATCTGTTTAGGTTTTTGCGCGTCGGAAGAGAGTTGTTAATGTAACGAATGGTAAAGTTGTAAATGTTTTTCGGGAGATTTGATTGGGCGATGGACCACACCTTGTTAAGCTGAGGTAAAGCGAACTTTGTGACGCTGCAGAAAAAGGATCCTTGACTGGTTAATTGGTTTAGGAGTTTGTTTTCGTGTCCAGAACGGAAATCTTTGAGAACTTCCTTAGTAGAGTTATAAGCGTCATATTGGATATTAGTATGGTTACCGGTTGCTTTCCACAGGTCGTTAGTTGATTCATTAGGAGAAGATTTTAAAGCTTTTCGGAGGACTGTTTGACACTGGATAAATTTTACAGATGGAGGATAAATACTGTTAGATATATAGATATAGACGGACAGCGGTCATACGCACGGACATGCGCATTACATATGTAGATCGGCCATGCTTATGTATTATTCATATTTTGTTAAAAGTCTAATATAAATACACGACAGTGGCGACGAATTTGGGATTGTTATAAGTCCAGAAATGACGACGATTGGAAAAATTGATGTTTTTGATGAAACCCAAGAAAACTGGGAGACGTATGTCGAACGAGTACAACATTTTTTCGCTGCAAACGATGTCGACGACAATCATCAAGTGCCAACTCTGCTGAGTTTAATTGGAAGCAAAACGTATTCATTATTAAAGGATTTACTTTTGCCAGAAAAGCCTGTAGACAAGAACTTTGATGAAATAGTAAGTACATTACAGAAGCATTTAAATCCTAAACCACTAGAAATAGCCGAACGGTTTCGTTTTTATAAGAGAAATCAGCAAGAAGGGGGGAGCATTTTAAGTTATATAGCTGAGTTAAAGAAACTAACCACACATTGCAATTTTGGAAATAACTTGGAAGAAACCTTGCGTGACAGATTGGTGTGTGGATTAAGTAATCAGCAAATTCAGAAACGTCTCCTTGCAGAGTAAAAATTAAAATTCTCCAAAGCTGTTGACATAGCAGTTGCTATGGAAAAAGCCACTCGAGATGCTACAGAGATCCACAGCAAGGGTAGAGAAGAAAAACCTCTTGGTCTTGACAAGCTGACACTGAACAGACCCTCGAATAGATCAGATGGTGGCCCACCTTCCCCTGTAGTGTGTTATCGATGTGGAGCTAATACCCATGTTGTAACTGAGTGTAGATTTAAGAAAGAAGTCTGTCACAAGTGTGGAAAGAGAGGTCATATTCAAAGAGCTTGCCGGGCACAACAAAGCCAGGGGCCCGGTAGACCCTCGCCCAGATCAAGATACCAGAAATCGACCAATGCCATAGAGACCGAACCAGATGAGTATGAACACTTGTTGAATAACCTAGAAGTTCATAATGTAAACAAATCAAACAGTGATGTCATATGGGTTGAACGTGAAAGTTGAAAATCAACCACTATCTATGGAACTAGACACAGGATCGGCCGTGTCCATTTTGCCATATGACATGTTCTTGGAAAGATTTTGCGACAAGAAGTTAGAGAAAACAACCACCGTACTAAAGATCTATACTGGTGAACTGATTGTTCCAGTTGGTTGCCTTACCATGCAAGTTGAATACTTAGATCAATCATGTCAATTGCCATTCCATGTAGTCCAGACTAAGGGTCCAGTGTTAATGGGTCGAGAGTGGCTTCACAAGCTTCGCCTCGACTGGAAAACCATTAAGTTGTTGAAATCCTCAGATTTCAGCCATAGAAACCCTGGCACGACTACACAAGAGAAGCTGAAAAACCTATTGGATACGTATGCAGAGGTTTTTGAAGACAAGCTGGGAACTTTCAAGTCTGCCAAAGCAAGGATAACCCTCAAAGAAGGTAGTCAACCACAGTTTCGCAAAGCTCGTCAGGTCCCATATTCCTTACGACCGAAAGGGGAGGAAGAACTGAAGAGACTTCAGAGCGAAGGTATTTTGTCGAAAGTAGAGTGGAGTGATTGGGCGACACCGATTGTACCAGTGCCGAAACATGATGGTTCAGTCCGTATTTGTGTTGACTTCAAAGGTACTATAAACCCAACACTACAAGCAGAACAGTATCCTCTGCCTCGAATCGAAGATATCTTTGCCCATTTAGCTGGTGGGAAAAAGTTTTCCAAGATCGACCTCCGACAAGCTTACCATCAGATTGAGCTGGAGGAAGAATCCAAGAAGTACCTTACAATTAATACGTCCATGGGCTTGTTTCAATACAATCGATTGGTGTTTGGTATTACCTCAGCTCCCGCCATTTGGCAGCGTACCATGGATCAGATTCTGGAAGGAACTTCTGGTATTAGTTATATCCTAGATGATATGATTGTGACGGGTAAAAGCGACGCAGAGCATATGGCTAACCTGGAGGAGGTCCTTCGACGGCTGCACCACCATGGGTTAAGAGCCAATAAATCGAAGTGTGAGTTCTTCAAAGAAAAGATCACGTTCTGTGGCCACGACATTAATAGTGAAGGCCTGTACAAGACCACCGACAAGACAGCTGCAATGGTGAATGCCCCTCGCCCCCAGAGTGTTGCAGAGGTACGCTCCTTCCTGGGATTGGTGAACTATTACCACAAATTCCTGCCAAACCTTGCTACAATCTTGCATCCATTGAACCAAATGCTGGAAAGTAACTACCAATGGAACTGGACAGATCAATGCGAAGAAGCCTTTTGCAAAGTTAAAGCAATGATTGTTTCAGATCTGGTGCTTACACATTATGATCCTAACCTTCCCTTACAACTGGCTTGTGATGCTTCACCTATAGGAATTGGAGCGGTACTGTCCCATGTCATGACAGACGGCACAGAGCGCCCGATAGCGTTTGCATCGAGATCCCTGTCGAAGGCGGAGCGCAACTACGCACAGATAGATAAAGAAGCACTGGCTACAGTGGAGGGAGTCAAGAAATTCCACAATTACCTTTTCGGTAGGAACTTTACCTTACTGACTGATCATGAGCCTCTCACTTCAATCTTTCATTCCAGCAAAAGCCTTCCTGTTGTCACTGCTGCTAGATTACAACGCTACGCTTTGTTCTTGGTGGGTTTTGACTATACAATTAGATACAAGAACACTAAGTTACACGGGAATGCGGATGGTTTGTCTCGATTACCCTTGCATAGTGAGACAACAGAAGAAGAGCCAGATCCAGTGGGTCTCTTCTATGACACGCAGTTTGAGCCTTTGCCAGTCACAGCAGAACAGGTCAAACGAGAAACACAGAGAGATCCTCTATTGGCGAAGGTCCATGAGTTGGTTATGAAAGGATGGTCCACTCCACAAGATGGATTAAACCGTTTTACCAGCGGAAAGACGAACTGACAGTTCACTGTGGTGTCCTAATGCTTGGACACAGAGCAGTCATTCCTGCAAAGTTGCGTAATCAAGTATTAACCGAGCTTCACGAAGGTCACCTCGGTATTGTTAAAATGAAGTCTCTGGCGCGAAGTTACATCTGGTGGCCCAAAATTGATAAGGACATTGAGCACCTAGCCAAGAGCTGCCCTGGTTGTCAACTTCAACAGAATGAAGCCGGCAAAGTACCCTCACACCCCTGGGAATGGCCAACCACACCTTGGCAGAGAATCCATTTAGATTTTGTTGGGCCGTTCCTAGGACGAATGTTCCTTATTATTGTAGATGCACACTCGAAGTGGCCTGACGTGGAAATGATGCCATCCACCACATCGACGCAGACCATTGACCGACTCCGAACCATTTTTGCCCGATATGGACTGCCAGCACAGGTGGTGACCGACAATGGGCCACAATTTACATCCGCAGAGTTCCAACTATTTTTGAAGACTAATGGTATCAAGCATATTACCACGGCCCCATTCCACCCTGCAACCAACGGTCAAGCGGAACGTTTTGTTCAGAGTTTCAAACATGCTATGAAATGCGAGAAACAAAGTGCATCCCAGCTGAAAACCAATATGGCAAAGTTCCTTTTGGCTTACCGGAATACCCCGCATTCGACGACTGGAGAATCACCGTCCGTGTTGTTTTTGGGCAGACCGCTACGGACTCGCCTCGATTTGGTGAAACCTGATTTACAAAGGAAAGTGATGAAAAGGCAAATCGATTAAGCGGGGAGGAAAGGACATTCCCCCACACGTCAATTATCCATTGGTCAGACTGTCATGGCACGTAACTACAGTGGGAAAGACAAGTGGCTACCAGGCATAGTTCGAGCTCAAACGGGACCCCTTTCGTACGAGATAAAAGTTGGTCCAAATCGAATTTGGCGACGTCACATCGACCAGCTTCGAGCCTCGAGTGTGAAAGTAAATGACCAGAGTGATGATACGGCTGAACCTCATCCAGAGCTCGGAGAGACTGGCCAGAATATTGCACCAGCAGAAGAAATTGTCGCAGAGCCGGATATCGAACTAGCCACGAATCCACCAGTAGTGCAACAACAAGAAGCCGGTAGGGCTACAACAGGATCTGAACAACGCTACCCAACTAGATCACACCAACCACCCGAGAGGTGGGGTCTTAACTGTTTGATCCGAAAACTGTTTAAGAAAACTACATAGAGAACTGCTTTATTACTTACTGTTATGGTTAGCATAATTGTTCGAACACGATAGTGAACTCATGAACAATATTTTATGATACATTCCTTAAGAGGAGAGATGGTGTTAGATATATAGATATAGACGGACAGCGGTCATACGCACGGACATGCGCATTAGATATGTAGATCGGCCATGCTTATGTATTATTCATATTTTGTTAAAAAGTATAATCTAAATACGACACCCAGTTGCACAGTTAGAAATAGCCATGCGCCAAGGAGAGCCTGATAAGTGTGACAGAAGTGCTTCTATGGTTTTGAGATAAATGTTTAACAACTTTCTTTGCATCAACGAACAACAGAACTTGTCTGGTAAATTAACTTGTCAAGAGAACTTGTCATACGCAAGGAATACTTTAACCGCGCTTCGAAGGATAAAGATTTGGAATAAGTAGCGAAGCTATTAAATTTACGTTCTCTTCTAGTATGTAATTGTTGTATGAGGGTGTTGATGGGGTATATCGTGAGTCGTGATTCACTCAGTTTCGGTTACCGTCAGTCATGAAAACACTAAAAATTTACCGTGAAGCGTGAGGAAAACAATACTGTTTATCGTTTCCGGACACTTTTCAAAGATTTACCGTTAAATACCTAAATTTTACCGTTAAAATACCAAAATTTTTACTGTTTACTGATTTTTACCCCCCCCCCCCTCACCATCACCTCTTGTATGGCTATTTCACGCACATACTACGCGGCGTAACTTTCCGTTTTAAATCCACTACTATGCCTGCATAGCGTAGTGATTACCCTCACGGAAACGCTACTCCAAAATAGTGTTAACACTGCAGCAAAAAATGTTTTTATACTTACCGTTTCGTAATCATGTACAGAAAACGCGACGTAAGGTTTTATCCGAAGATTTACTACTTATACATACGTACAGCTGCATGAACGAGAGCAAAAATACACCCTGAAGATTGAAGAAGATATATGTTTTATTAGTTGGTTCAAAAGTGCTGATGTAACCAGTCTATACTGCGTGCCAAGAAGATTACGGACAATTTAGCCTGTGTTCCAGTCCACTACACCGTTGCGTTTGCTATTTCTTTATCCAAAGCGGTTACCCGACATTAAAATAATATTTGTTGTGAATTTTTGATCCTGGCCTGATTTTCTCGACTTTCAATTGGCGAAACTTTACCCTCGACATTTTGTACTTGCCCTCGACAATTAGCTCTCGACACTCGACCAATAGATGAACTCGATGATCTGCGATTTGCCGTTGTAAACCGAAAGGCTGGGAAGACGTCTAAAACTCCTACGAGATTTTAATTATTAACTTATTTCACTGGCTACAAAATGAATTTCATTGTATTAGAGAGTGTTCATTATTTATGGTTTGGGGAGGGGGGCGGTGGGGGGGGGGGTGAGATCATGGAGGGAAGGACTTTGCTGTTCGTTTTTTGAGGGGGGCACTAGTACTAGAGTTTGAGGAGTAATTGATGGGGAGTCTGAATTAACAATTAGTTTACAGGAACTTTTGCATTATTACAAACGTTATAAAATAAAGACTTTTTAATTGTTTAAATGATATTGCACATACCAAATTTATGCACTTGTACTGTATTTTATATAAAATGGGAGGGGGTCAGAAACGTTTTTGGTATTTCCTGGGGGGTCGACGTCATGTAGATATTGAGAGGGAGGAGGTGCGAAATGCCGCCAGCCTCCTCCCGACCTCCTAACCATACATATGGTTAATGAATACTCCCTTAGAATAGTGGCTGTACGTCGTCGTTAGAGGTTCCTGATGATGGCAGTACATAAAGCTGTTGAAAGGCCGTGCATTCTCGCCTGGTTCATCAGTACAGTGTTTCTGCTGGATAAGATGCTCGATATCAGATTTCAGGGAAACGGACGTACGAATCCTTTCCAATGACTTTCAATATAGAAGTGGCTTCATACCATATCAGATATCACTGTCAATAAAACTATTCACACAATGCCAGAAATTACAGATTTATACGTCGACGCCTGCCTCTGATTAACTCAGCGCGCATTGTCTGAACTCCCTGTCGCCCTCAAATCACGGCTTGATCAAAATACAGGGTGACGGTGCGTAGTGCTTGAAAAACATTTTGCACCAAAATAGTCCACTGCTGGAGTTGATATCATGGCGTATCGGTCGCTGATTAACATTGCGCTCTTCGTGTTCCTAACCTTGGCTGTCCACGGACAAGAGGAAGATAAACGTATGTAAATCCAAGAATATTAATTGTTAGAATAGTGCGGCACATGGTGGCCAATCTAAAAGTAAACACGTTGTCCAAGTCACTAAATTGCTCACTATTACACTATATATATCAATCTTGTGTGCGCTAGCAAATGTATCATATATTTGTGAGTATTTTAGTATTTAAAGCATTGACTATAATTTGCTCGATTTCATAAGTGTCTATATGACTACCTTAATTGATAACCTTGCGTGGCGCTATTAACTTGCCTAAACTCTATTTACCACAGCTTGTCAAAATGCGATCTCTCACGCAATCCTGTGTGCGCGTAATAATATATGATTTCTACTAATAGTCGTACAACATTGTAGCCCTTGGTGAACTAGCTGAGATATTACTGAATAGCAAAGCCCACTAGAGGGTGCACCATTGAATGCTATCATTCAAGCTCATTTCCGAAATCAGTGAAATCATCTTGTGATAGCTTATATTTCACTCTATATAATGTTTCCGAAATTCAAGTGGCGTCCATCAAATTTTGACGCAGAGAGTTTCAAGCGTTTGCGCCGTGACGCTCTTTCGTCAAAGTATATCCTTTAAACCATATATCTAAACTTATTTCCAGTATAGCAAAGATGCATACCACCGTTTTGGGCATTGGCAGACAACTCAATACTCTCGGTCAATTTAATTAAACGTATTTGAGGTGGTCTAAGGCTCATCTATTAAACAGAGATATATTATTTTATAATGGGATCAGTAGATTATCTTATTTATCATCACGAGAATCTATAAGTATCAAGTGTCAAGGTGCGTGTAATAATGTTATAAACACAGCACAGGCGGTCGAACGGAAAACGAGAGTTTGTACGCCCGTGCGGCCATATAAAGTAAATTCGTTCCATGTATGTCAGCCTCTGAAAAGGGTTTTTATTTGGGAGTTATAAAAGGGCAAGAGAAAAATTCAAGTAGGACAGGCGTGCGGGAGCACGAATTTTGTAGACAGCTAGATTGAGGGTGGGAAAGGGTATTTTCGTGAGCCGTGAATGGTCAATATTTGTTTGCGTGAAATGTGAAATGCTTGATTTTAGTGTCGTGAAATGTGATTTGTTCTACGTGATTGTCGATAAAAATGCTCCGTGAATTGAGAATTAAGGATGTCTGTTTCGTGAACTGTGATTTTGCTTTGTTTATTTCGATCTATTTTATAAGTAAGAGTTATAAACCGATGATACGCGATAATCAACTTATATGATCTCACTCGATTGCACAAGAGTAAAAACTTTGGAGGCCTTTCGGAGGTCGTCGTACATGCTTGTCACTCAAACTTGTAAGTTATGATGTAGTTTTTAACTGACAGGTCAAGGTAGAGAAGTGAGAGAACGTTAAGCGTAGAGACTGTACTATGCATTAAACATACTCTTAATAAACTTATATATTATTCTATTATTTTATTAGAATTTAGTTTTCCGTGAACTTGCTTTTTTTAAGACACGTGAATCGTGAAACGGCTTTTTTTTCGTTGTGAAACGTGATCCATACCCCTCCCCTTTCCCACCCTCTAGATTATGAAACACAAGGATTTAAACTGTCATGTTTTGAAACATTTTTAAAGAAGAAGAAAGTTTAACTGCGAAAATCGAGAAAAAAGATAATGCCAATCAGGAAAATTTTTTATATGTGGATACAACACCTCATTACAAATTGATTTCTTTTCATGAATTATTTACAATCACATGCGTCCTTCTACCTCTTAAAACTCGATCCAACGAGGATACTGAGGATGGTAGTTGATGACAGTTGGTATCATTGGCGTCGCCAAGGTGGAGCGATGAGGGGCGATGACTATCACCCCCCCCCCCCGCCGGCCCAATAGTCTTCAAAACCGTGCTCATGAAAAGGTCAAATCCAGCGAGATATTGGGAGTCAGAACGAGTCAAATCCAATTAATTGTAGTTTATTCTAGGAAACCTTGTACGGACATGGCTCCCTGAAACATGGATTTAATTTCAAATGTGTGTGATAATGACAGCAGGCCGATCTATAATAATTTTATTAAATTTTTCAGTTCATACTAGATTATCAATATAATCAATGAATCTCTGAAGATATTTTGTTCCAATGTGATAATAACAGAATTTTTTGATTTATGACCTTCCAGTTACTTTTAAAACTCTATGAGAATGTGTGAAATGGCGTTTTCGAACCTCAGAAATCCAAAATTCTCCCTGCGGGAGCATTTCCCCGGATCCCCTAGGTGATTCGTGGCTTTTCCACTGAATGCTCTCCCTCCCCGAAAAAAAAATTCGTCCCTGGCTACACCATTGGTTTGCATGAGTCACGCATTGTTATACGGGGATATTTTAAGCTCTTGATTAAGGAAATGATCATAATATTTGCATGATGAGTGTTACAACTTTACTTTAACTTAAATAAAATGCAATACATGATAGTGTTGGGAAAGCATTGAGAACAGCTAATATGAGCTAACCAAGATTATCTGCGTACTGTAAATGTACCAACTATGTTTATTTACACTTTTCACAGTGTGGTTCTTTCCAGTGATATTCAGGCACGAAACAAAATCAAAATATTATATTACTTTTCTCAAAATGTAAAAAAAACCCATTGAAATGGGTAAATTGCATACCAATTTAGGTGGGTCTATCAACGAGTAAGTGCGTAATTTGTTCAGTTTTAGATATAGGAAATCGTTGTTGTTGGTATATAGCTTGAACAACATAAGTGGAGATTTCTGCATTTTTAAATTGTCTTCAATCGTGGTATCCCAAATTTATTATGAGCGATTAAAACCTGAGGCCAAACAAAGGCATCCTAGAACTTTCCAGACGCTGGATAAATACCCAGGAAAAAGGCGTTGAGAATATGAAATTTGAAACCAACATGCTTTTCCTTTATTTCGAAATACTGTGAAAAACACCAATACCTCTATCCTCCGCACAGGCAATTGGAATAGGCTTACATGAATCTTACATGACGTTTCGATTTCCCCAATCGAGACTTCATGTAAGCCTATTCCAATCACCTCTGCGGAGGAGAGAGCACTAGTACTGTCTTAAGGTTGGGTTTTAGAGCAAAACGCGGATGCGGACAAGACAGACGGCTGCCGGACGAACGAGAGAGTAAAATGTGCATATGAGAGTAAAATGTGGATGTGAAGTTAAAATGGAGATATGAGGGCATACCCACATACATCAACATGCTTGTCAGCGTTTGTGTGCCAGAGAAAGATACAAGTTTGATGCATTTAAGAGAGATTTTATTTAAACAATTCTGAGACACTAGGTCAAACATTACTGCTGATGTTTGGAAATGTAACTGTGTTTACATCATCAGTCATCGCCATCTTTCTTTGCGGCTTACTGAAATAAAAATATAGTCCGTTTATAAGGTGATCAAATTTACCACCGGCATATGGCATGGGAGGGCAAAGTAAAATCGCGGTGGTTTCGATTAAATGTTTCTGCTTATCGCTCGCCAATTATTTGCGCGCGCAAAATGTTGTTTCAATTGATGGACTGACATTGACGGGCAGTTATAATTTATAATAATTTATAATTTATTACACTTTGCCTCTTGGAAAGAGCAACACCAACAGTCATTTACTGCGGATCCATTATAATACATCAAGTTTAATATCAACTAACAATAAATAATTACTATTACAATTACCAACAAAACATACAAACACATACAGACATTAATTAACAACATTAAAGCTACGTTTAGGATTCGCCCTCTGGCACATGTCATTCAATAAACACGCCTAAGCTGGCTACATTTGAAATTTATGAATTATAGCGCCAGCACTCATTTTAATACGCCAAAATACGAATCGCACACGAAAAATCGCAGCGCGTAAACGTACCTTAAGACATACAGACCTTAAGCTACATTCCCCGCAACGCAGAGCCTTACAAGCACGGTAGCTTATTTATTAGGATATGCCCTCATAAGGCTCATACCAACAGTTCATCACCCTCTCATCCGTTCTTGAAGTTTAGATTCAGTCATTCAGTACCTTTTTTAAGAATTTGTCTGGGGACAGTGTAGGTAGCGCACTAGCGCCTGAATAATAAGAAAAGTTTGGATTGAATACTTGAAACTTAAATTCTTACCTTATTTCATATTTCAGTTTCATATATATTTTTGTATCAGTGTTGTAGTTCTTTTTATTTGTATTATAATATATTCTGTAATGTGATTTACATTTTTCTGATGTGTCGGATGTTACTCGATAGTGTGTATCCACACTGGGCAGGCTGAAGAGTTCGCCTGATCAGGGTGGGAATCGAACCCGCGACCTTTGGGATACAGTTGAACGTCTATTAAGCGGCCCTTCATTAAGCGGCCACCCTCTATTAAACGGCCACATATAACGAAGTCCCGAATTTTTTGTAACACAAATACTATAAACTATCCCTCTATTAAACGGCCACCTCTAATAAGCGGTCGCGGCCACCCAATGAGCGGTCCCAAATGATGTTTTATGTCAATTTTTACCTCTATTAAGCGGCCAACCTGCAGGATTTACTTTGGCGCAACGCCTTGTCACGAGAACCGAAAATAAAAGTCGAGCTAATTTGCTTTGTTTGTAAAATAAGGCTTAAAACTGAATTAAGTTTTAACACATGCCACTTTACATCTCAAAAGCTTTACACCTCAAAAGATTTGACTACGCTCAGGGTCCATTATTTGGGTACCTCTATATTTAGCGGCCACCTCTATTAAGCGGCCACAAAGCCGATCCCCGAGGGTGGCCGCTTAATAGAGTTTCGACTGTACTACCGTAGTCCAATGCTCTGCCAACTGATCGAGTGTACACTCAGCCTGCCCGGTGTGGATACACACTCAGAGTAACATTATATTTACCTGAGTACATAATTTACGTGCTTTTAGAATACGGGCGTAAGCTTCCTCCCCAGGCATCGCCTTTAGATTAGCGGGCAGAATTTGGTTGCAGGCGACAAACTGGCTGGCTTTTAGTCTGCGCAAACAACTCAGGTTTAACTACAGGATATGTGAAGAGTCTAAGCAAGACTCAATTTATGATTCACGCTTTCTTGGTCTGGTCAAAAAATAGGTACGCAAAGCG